CGAGCATCTCTGATCATTAAAAATTAAAGAATTTAAATTTCAAACAAATTGGCAACAGCAGCAGAGGAGCTTCCCACACAAATACTTTATTTGGGCTGGTGCCCACTGCCCAGGGATATTAACAGCCCCCCAAATATATTTAGTGACACATTTTTTTTTTAATATAAAAAGCATCCAAGATCAATTAAGTAGTTTAAAATCTTCTCTCGTTTACCTGTTTTGTTTTGTGCATATCAATACTCCCACAGAAAGTCTTACTTGCTCTGCAGAGCCACAGAGACACCCCTTTTTGGGACGTAAAAAAGTTGTCTGGCCAGGGTTTCTAAATCTCCTAAAATGTCTGGGATTTGGCACATGCACACTCAAATATATACAGTTGAAGTCAAAATTATTAGCCCTCCATTGAATTTTTTTTCCTTTTTTTAATATTTTCCCAATGATGTTTAACAGAGCAAAGAATTTTCACAGTATGTCTGATAATATATTTTTTTTCTGAAGAAAAGTTTAGTTGGCATTAAAGTTTGCTTTGAACGTTTTTTTTTTTTTTACTTTAACCCATTGAAAATAAACAGTGTATAACAATGTCATAATAAATAAAATTCATTTATTCATTTATTTTCTTTTCAGCTTAGTCCCTTTGTTAATCTGGGGTTGCCACAGTGGAATGGTCCGAAAACTTATCCAGCATATGTTTTACGCAGCAGATGCCTTTCCAGCTGCAACCCATCACTGGGAAACATCCATACGCACTCATTAATACTCAAACACTATGGTCAATTTAGCTTACCCAATTTACCTATACCGCATGTCTTTGGACTTAAAAATTATTGTTAAAAATTTAATTGTTTTAATTTTTTACTGGCAAAAGGTTTCCTGCCATGTAAAGTCTCAATTTCTGCAGTCACTCAAATAAATGAAACATTTTTTTATCATATAATGTTTTCTGAAAGTCAAATTTATGAAACTGTGATGCTGTTTTTCTAGTTTATATTTTAGGCAGCTGTTCTGGGTGTGCAGGTATAGAAGGTCACGCAGATGGATTAACAGCCAGCAACTCTTGCCAGGCTGACAATCCTCCAACTATTGGTCCCTCGCTCTGGCTGGCTTCCATCTGTCTATGCCAGATCTTTCTCATGATTCAGTGAAACAACTCTGGATATGAACTAACATAGTTAAAGCTTAAATATTTATGTAGTTTACTGACACAGGTGCTGGGTATTGCTGTGCATTGGATTTAGCAGCTAGTCTAATATGTCTAACAAAACCCTGCTCAAAATACCTGACTTAAACCAGGCTGCTTTGCTCATCTTGGCTCATTTGAGCTGCTTTTTAGAGAATCTCCCAGTTTGTGTAGCATGGCAGTAAGTTTACCTACAGGCATACCCAGCAAAATGATCAGCAAACCAGTTTTTTTTTCTCAGCAGGAAAATATTGTATTCTGTGAAACAAATGGACCACATATTAACTTTTAGTGTGTCACATATAAATCGTTTGGCAAGAGATTGCTGCGGCAAATCAAATCACACAAACTGCCCGAGGCCAGCAGGATGTGGACCAGTAATTTCTTCTCTGTTTTTATTCCCCATGCAAAACATTTCCTTAGTATTAGCCTACATTTGCATTGCAATGCATTCTGATAATGAGTGTTGTATAATAGCAGAGTCGCGGTATATTATAGCATGTAAGTAATCTTCTTACTGGCTTATTAATATGCGTTAAAGTGGGAATATGGCCATCAAAAGGATCCTAGCACAGTCAGACATTCTGTTGAATGCTAATTACGATCTCTATGGTAAAAAGAAATTCATTGTTATCTGCTAGACTTATGCAGATATACCGCTGCTTCTTACAGGGTATCCGCGGGGTCTTAAAATATGTTAAATCTCAAAATAATTTTAGGCTTAATTTCAGGCCTTAAAAAGTCTTGAACTGAAGTACTGATATGTTGTGTTTTAGGTCTTAAATCTTTTTTAACAGATCTTATTTTTTCTTTGTTCATGTATAGCTGCCCAATCTGGCCATTAACACCAACACCAACCTACAATCAACAACAATCCATCTCAATAACATGTTTAACTTTTGATTCAAAAACAGCATTTAGATACTTTCCTTACAGTAACATTTTCTTAAAAGTTCTCCATTTATTTACTGCTAAGGCTACTGACCTGACCTACATTTTATTTATTCATTCATTCATTTTCTTGTCGGCTTAGTCCCTTTATTAATCCGGGGTCACCACAGCATAATGAACCGCCAACTTATCCAGCAAGTTTTTACGGCCTTCCAGCCGCAACCTTTCTCTGGGAAACATCCACACACACACTCATTTACTACGGACAATTTAGCCTATACAATTTACCTGTAACGTATGTCTTTGGACTGTGGGGGAAACCAGAGCACCCGGAGGAAACCCACACAAATGCAGGGAGAACATGCAAACTCCACACAGAAACGGCAACTGAGCCGAGAATCGAACCAGCCACCTTCTTGCTGTGCACTACCTACTGCGCCACTGCTTCGCCCCATTTTATTTATTATTAACTTATTATTAATATTATTATTATTATTATAGATTGAAGTAATTGACAGCTATGTTTTTTCTATTCTTAGTAAGTGTTATGGGGTTTGTGAATGAATATACTTAAAAGCTATTAAAAACATATTCAAACAAAATTATTATTATTGTATAATTTGAAGAAAAATCTTTTGTATTTAGCTCTGCATAGATCTAAATTTCTGTTCATTATGGACTTAAAAATGTCTTAAAGTCTTAAATTTAACTTTGTGAAACCTGAAGAATCCCTGATCGTAGTATAAAAGCAAATGAGAGTGTTGTTATCATCTCTTCTTTTGGAGGGCAGGACTAAATGAAGGATGAATGTCTGTTCTTCTTGAGCCGATGATGCAGAAAGCTAAGCTCCTGAGCAGGAGTTCAAGCCGCATTAGTTTTTCACACTTGTTTTAGCCTGAAATTGTTCACATCAGCAGAAGTGAGGACAGAACTTGTTGCTGTCTGGTTGCAGAGCTGTCTGGTGTGTGTGTGTCATTGAGAGCGAGTTCTTCTCTTAGGGTGGAATGGATGGCTGATTTGATTGTTGCTGTGAGAACACAGCTGGGACCAGGACACCTTCTGCGAAGTCATCTCACTTTATTTTTGCCGTTCTTTTTCTCCCCTTAGAGAACAGCGTCAGGGTGTTAGGTGATGGATGCCATTGCTGTATTCTCAGGGCTCGTTTGATGTCTGATAGACATGTACGCAAGTTAATGGGTGCCGCAAACTATATATGAGGACACTGACACGTATACCAAACATGTCATAATTCTGTCTCCAACACTTTGCATTGTGTCCTAACCAGGAGCGATGAGATGAATCGATATCATCTCTTTCATGTTAATCCAAATTTGTCTTCAGACTGTTTGAGGGTCACTTTCTAATTTTTTTTTATTACATTATCTCATTTTTGCTTGAAGCGATGTCAAAAAAAGAGCAGAACTGGGTTAGTTCTTTGTAACGTTTTAAAACATTTGTCACTTTTGAGCAATTAAGTATGCTATACCTAAAGATTAATTTAGTAATTGCTGGTTTTGTGGTGCGACGCATCACAAATCTCACAGTTCGGATCACATTATGTTTTTTAGTCATGGATGGGACCATGTTTTGGATCAGCCAAAAAAGGGTATTGCAAGACACTTTTGGTTTTAACAAACAGAAATTAGATCTATGGAAGTCCCAATCAGGTTTTTTTGCCCTTGAGTCAGATTCATTTTATTTTGAGTATCCGTTACCGAAAACCAATCCGATACGTCTGTAATACATGAAAAAAGGATAAAGAAGAGTGAAGAAACAGATCCAGAATGTTCCTTATTTTTTATTTACAGTAAATCACCCTATTTTAACATTCATCAACTTTTTATCAAACAGAGCACTTCTGTGAGGTAGCTTAAACAATCAAGAAATAAATAACATCAATTCTTCACTTTTGGACTTTAGTGCAACAGTAAATAAAAATAAAATAATAATGAAGAAATAATTAGCTTAATAAAAATAAATTGTAAAATATTCAGTTCTGTAAAAAAATGTTGCTGATAACACTTAATGTATAAATCTGACATTATAATTTGTACAACTTATTACTATTTTTAGTCAAATTTTTAATAAATGATTCTGTTATTCACTCATAAAACTTCATGTTTCATTGCTAGATGGATCATTTTTGAAGAAGTAGTCAGTGTTTTTTTTTTAATGGCTGGTCATTTTTGAGCATCGTTAAATGCACATTATAGTGATTTTAATCTGAACCATAAACATCAGTGGTTTTTATTTAAATTCTAAACCGTTATCCCAGTACTTCTCTGTTACCTGGCTGTAACTATAACTAACTCAAAAGACTCAAGTTTCTCTTTATTGATTTTTGTATTTTCAGATTTTAATGCAGCGAATTGAAGGATAATTAAACATATGCAAATCACCGTCATTTATCATTTGTATTGTGTGGATGTTGAGATGCCAGTCTTTTAAATGATTAATCGTGCAGCTTACACTGAATGCAATAATGCAGACTTAACAAGTAGTGACAGAAAACACCTTTAATAACCTAAGAAACCCACCACATCCTGAATAACCTACCACAACTTCTTTCGTCATCATTATATTTTACAGAAAAGCCTAAATGCTTTCCTACATGTGATTTGAATGACGTGAGAGGCGATCTCTTTGCTACCGTTACAAATTTAGGATTAATCTACCTGTAAAAATGTTATAATACCCCAGGTCATGTGTGTTCCGAACCATGTTTTGTGATCTGTACGAATCACGGATCAACCGTTATCCGTTGCACCCCTAAAACTAAACATTTTTGTTTAAAAAAACATAGAAAAGCTTTAAAAATAGCCCTTGTGTTCCTATACTGTATGCTGTTCTGCAGTGTATTCATTAATCTCTTATAATGTGTCTCTTTATTTTAACCCACTGCTTGTTTTGTGTCCTTTTTCTTGCGCAGTGAGCATGATGTGGGAGAGGACGACATCTATGACTGCGTCCCCTGCGAGGATGATGGGGACGACATCTACGAGGACATCATCAAGGTGGAGGTTAGACAGCCTATGGTGAGTGAGCCACCATACGGACGACGCTCATTGGTGCGTGTGTGAGAGAGGTTATAGATGGATTGTTTTCCTGTCATTTTCCCACGGCTGTGCGCGAGTTCTCTTGCTCTGCTTACATTTGCTACTTTGCCTCCTTACTGCTGCAGATCAGATACATGCAGGTAAGTGTCATGCTGTACCGCACATAATTCTCTAACGCTCCCTGAGTGCTCTTCTTTCCTTTCCTTTAAATGTGTGTACGCCCTTGAGCCCTTTACTCATATATGAAGAACCTGCAGAGCTGATCCAGAGGCCCATTCACGTTTGCTTTCAATTTCACAGAAATATCTAATAAAGGAATAGGTGGCTCAACAATTCACTTTTTGCCATCTTGTGTTTACCCTCAAGATGTTTTGAAGATTGTTTTACCCTGCTGTTTTCTATACAGCAAAAGCATTTAGTGACAGGGGCCCCAAAAGATGCACTTGCTCATTTAAACATCCATGTGGAGATAATTGATGTCAGACAGAGGGTTAATAAATGAGACGCTTAAAAATGTGTTTGCGATTCATATTTATAATGCAATGGCAAGTGTCATTCTCAAACCTACAGAAGTTCAAGAACAATCAACACTTGTTATACAGACCTCTGATAAGCCAGTTAATCACCGGCCACTATATTAGGTACGTCTTAATAGTACCTGGTTTGACCCCCTTTTGCATTCAGAACTTTGTGGCATATATTCAACAAGGTACTACTGTAAATATTCCTCAGAGATTTTGGTCCATATTGACATGATAGCATCATGCAGTTGCTGCAAACTTGTCGACTGCACATCCATGGTGCGAATGTCCCATTCCACCACATCCCAAAGATACTCAATTGGATTGAGTCTGGTGACTGTGGAGACCATTTGAGTACATTGAACTCATTGTCATGTTCAAGAAACCTGTCTGAGATGATTCTCGCTTTATGACATGGCATGTTATCCTGCTGGAAGTAGTGATCAGAAGATGGTTCCATTGTGGTCGTAAAGGGATGGATATGGTCAGCAACAATACTCAGGTAGGCTGTGATTTTGAGACGATGCTCAGTTGGTACTAATAAGCCACAACTGTGCCAAAAAAATCCCCACACCTACCATCCGAATGTTGCAACAGAAATTGAGACTCATCAGACCAAGCAACATTTTTCCAATCTTCTATTGTACAATTTTTGTGAGCCTGTGCAAATTGCAATTGTAGCCTCAGTTTCCTGTTCTTGGTTGACAAGAGTGGCACCCAGTGTGGTCTTCTGCTGCTGTAGCCATCTGCCTCAAGGTAGAAGGTGTTGTGCCTTCAGAGATGCACTTCTGCATACCTCGGTTGTAACGAGTGGTTGAGTTACTGTTGCCTTTTTATCAGCTCAAACCAGTCTGGCCATTCTCTGTAAACTTTAGGGATGGTTGTGCTTGAAAGTCCCAGTAGATCAGCAGTTTCTGAAATTCTCAGATCAGCCCATCTGGCACCAATAACCGTACCACGTTCAAAGTCACTTAAATTGCCTTTTTTCCCATTCTGATGCTCACTTTGAACTGCAGCAGATCGTTTTCACCATGTCTACATGCCTAAAAGCATTGAGTTGCTGCCATGTGATTGAAATTTGCATTAAACAGCAGTAGGAAAGGTGTACCTAATAAAGTGGCCGGTGAGTGTATAACACCTTTATTTCCAAGAAACCTTATAGCTCAAGATTTAATGCAGCTTTTCTTTAAATATTGCGATATAGCTAAACTTTAATATAAAATATAGTCTTTTATACACATATATATATAGAAGCAAAATATATAAGACATTTTTACATTTAAATGAAGTTATTTTGTAATGTAAAAATCGAATCACTCAATAGTAACTACAGTATTAGCTAAACATAATATATACAGTAATTATAGTTGTGATATATGACACAATTGCGTAACACTGATTGTTGGGTTGGCAAAAGTATGTGGTTTTTGCGCAAGCCTGGTTTCAGCTGATACTTCTTTTTGTAAATTTTGAATGCATTTTAGTACAGAAATGTTGGTGAATCATAATTCTTTCATGGACATGAAGCACAAATTTGAATGTACACTTTATGTATGTATAGTGAATTGATCAAAACAAAGCAATAAAATTTTAATTTTACAAGCTTATAGCTAACTTGAACTAATTGTGTGGTACTTTTATAATACCATTTGTGTCATTTTCTGATAATTACAGCACGTGGCCTCTGTTAATATTATTTATAAAAGAGCTGCAAGAACATTCTGCATCCAACCAGATTTTTAGTTTTTTTTTTTTATGGATGACAAAGTCATGCAGGTTTGGATTGACGTCTGTTATGATGTCAGGCCATTTCTGATTATTTATAATTATTATTATTATTGTATTTTAGGTATTCTATTTTCCTTAAACATTTCATCATTCAATTGAAAAAAATACAGCTGAATGTATTTCATGGCTGGAGCATTTTCCTTTGTAAAAAATGAAAAAGGAGGAGAAGGTGACTCAGTGCTTACATGTCCATCTGAGCTAAAGAGAGTGCTGTCTCACCAAGTGAGCTAATGTTAGGTTATTTTAAACCCACAAGGGAGGAAATCCCTTCTTCAGACTGTCCCGCCTTCACAGAGAAATGCACACACACACACACATACAAAACAAAACACAAAGCAACTCGAAGGAAAGAAAACATAGAAAATAGCATCAGACACCCAGACATAATGCTTTCAGAACTGTTTTGTGATTTTGCAAATTTGATCTTTCTTCATACCACTCGGTATCCAGAGTCTACCTCTTTAAAATATGCATACATCCCTTAGTCCTGAACAGTTATAGATGAATTTGCCTTACCCGAATCTGTCTGCTTTCAGTGTTGCTAAGGGCGTTCTTCATTGTTCTTTCTTTCCATTTTTCCCCCCTTCACTCTAATGAAACAATTGTTTGTGGTCTTGAATTTCTCTGGATGTGGGCAGGTTTGCTTTGGCCTCATGCACTGCCAGACCCAGATGTTCAAATGTGTGTTCACTCCAGCTCTGGCCTCCAGCTGGCGTTTCTTTTCTTCCAGTGTTATCGCCACTTTCTTAAACAAGCTCACATCCCACTCGCATTACACCAATATCTAGTGATCAGACTTAATCAAATGCATCACCTTCTGTTAGATCATTTTCTGTTGTTATTGTCATGTGAATTGACCTCGTTAAGTCTTCATCAAAACCCTATTTATTATGGCTTTCCTGCAGTTGTTTTTGTGTTTTTGACTTAAATGTGTATGTTGTTTTGAATGAATGCAAGATTCAACTTTTTATCCTACAGTCCTTGTCAGCATTACCCTTGAGAGTTTGTTGTAAAATGCTCTTCGTCCACCTCTGTCTTTTACTGTAGTGTGCTTTGGCTATCCTGATTGTGACCTGAATTCCTTTAAATAACAGTTTGGTACCTTGCACAGGTGTTTAAAGGTGCTGAGCTGGTCTCTTGCGGGACAATACCAACATAATTTGTGTCTTTTTTTCTTGTTCCCATAATAGAAAATGGGCATGACTGAAGATGATAAGAGGAACTGCTGCTTGGTGGAAATTCAGGAGACTGAGGCAAAATACTACAAGACACTGGAGGACATTGAGAAGGTGAGTGGGAAAAGCATTGAGTTTTGGAGCTGGGGAGAGCGGAATTGAAGGTCTGGAAGTGGGTCAAGGTCTTACTAGGGTCCTCCGAGGACAGTGAGGTAACTCAAAAATAGATGGAGAGAGTATAGGACAAAAGATGAGAACTGAGCCCCTAGGAGGCAAGTGTCCTGGTGCTGTATTCCTTTCGTATTATTCAGATTCTTTGAAGTTAATCTTAAATTCAATCTGAAACCATTTTCTTTATAAATGCTTATTTGGCTCAAATCAATCATACAATATATTCCAAAGAAAGAAATATTGATGGGAAATAAATCTGTACTGCACGTTAAACAAGCTCGCTTAGATAATATTATATTTAGATTACTTTATTAATTATTTATTGATGATTAAGTGCTAATTCTTTACATTAATGTCAATTTTTAATCCTTTATATTGTTGTAATGTCAAACATTATTGACATTATAACTATTGTTTTTAGATTGTGTTTTCTTTTTTTTTTTTTTTTTGTAAAATAAAGAATTTTATATAATTAATTTAAAGAGCACCTATGATGAAAATAACCTTTTTGAAGCTGTTTGGACAGAACTGTGTAGGTATAGTGTGTCCACAGCCATATTGGGGTCATATAAAGACAATAAGTCTCTTTTTAATTTCCTCACGTTAAAATAAGATTCAAATCCCTACCTTTTTTTAGGCCCACCGCAACTTGATATTGGAGTGCAGTTTCAATACCCACCCAGTTGATTGACAGCCGCATATAAACATGTCTCCATAGTAATGCATATAATCATATAAACAAGACAGGACATACGCAAAGCAACTGGGGTTTAAGATCTGTTCAGCTCTCTGTGATCATCAATCATCATCAAATGTGATCAAGAATGAGTTTTACAAGTTTAAAACGTTTAATACAGTGCATCTTTGTTGTAAGGACAGTAAAATCGCTCTGTAAATCATCACCAAAGCCTCATAATGTCAGTACAATTATAAAAGAAGACGCTTCAATAACGGTTTGCGGATGTTAAATCAGGTTTATTTTGTATATAAACATAAAGGATATCCATACAGCAGTAGATATTAACATGTATCCTGTCACATTTGCCATGAAAATACAGTGCAAAGTTATACTTGCACGTTGTGTGGGTGTATATGTGTGTAAACTTTTTAACTACATTGTGTGTGACTCGTTGTCGGAGAAAGGATTGGATTAACTCCACAACAAATACATCAAAAAATCATTGGTAAAGTTCGTACTGTAGTATTTCTCACAAGCGTCATGTGAGATTTGCTTTCTTCATGTCTGTCAATGTGCTGTTTATCTGACGCACCCAAGGCTAAGATTAAAGTACACTCTGACAGGCACATGGGCACAGTGCCAAAAACAGCTACATTGTGTTCAAAGCAGAAAATGGCAATATTCTGAAAGCTATAATAAATAATCTGATGGGTGTTTTAAGCTGAAACTTTACACAAACATTCTGGAGACACAAAAGACTTCTCTTAAATCTTAAAAAAGAGGTAACATGGGTGCCCTTTAAAAGGCCAATCATAAATATATATAGCCTTCTGAAATTCATTTTATTTTTGTTAAACTATTGTTTCTGTTTTAATTTCAGTTGACGCACTGTATTAATATATAAATTAAAGTGTATTCATTAAAAAGACTGGTCTAATTAAATAAAATCATGAAACCTATACTGCATTACATTCATGCTTTTCATGTGACTGAAATCATAGCAGTCTGCATATATTTAAAAAAAAGTCATACAGTCATATAAAGGCTAAAACATTTTTTTTCTTGATGTGTGCCCTCTCTTTGCCCTCCAGATTCAGGGGTCATTCAGAGGCCAGCAATGCCATGTGCTAACTAAGAAGTGAGATAGAATGTCTGTTTGGTAAATCAATACTGTTGGCACAAGATCCCACCCTGGGGTTATTGCATGCATTCACGCTTGTATGTACAAATCATACAAACGTGTATGTGTGATGTTTAAGGCTGGCCTGTTTTCAATTGCTCTGTCAAACACAGCACACAGAATTTGAAGTGTGGAGCAAAATAGTCCAGTGTACTGTTATTAGAGGTGATGAATTGCTGTCAAAACAGTAAGGGGGTCGTCCGGATTTCATATCCAAGATAGAGGCTTTGTTTACTGATTATCACTTGTTTCGTTTCTTCCTAATTAATACAAATGTGTCAGGATTGCTCTGAAATCACTTTCTGCTTTACAACTGTAACAAATAGATGCGTTTGCCAGGGTTTCTCAGAGTTTATTATATTAGAACAGCCTACCTGCAGCCACGCTAGACAAGTATTTGACTTTTGCTGGTCAAAAACAATTACCAAACCACAGCAAGGTGTAAATCTAATTGCTTGGGCCCTATCATACACTCGGCGCAGTGTGGCGCAAGACGTGACGCAGTAATCTTTTGGTGCTTTAAGCTTGGCGCAAGAGTCGTTTTGAGGCGTTGCGCTACGCTGTTTAAATAGCAAATGCATTAGCGCTCATTTTTGTGCCCATAGGCGCTCTGGTCTAAAAAGGAAGGCGTTTTGAGACGGACCGCTGGCGCGTTGCTATTTTGAGAATCTATAATAGATTTTTCATTAGACCAAAACTAACCCGGTCTAAACTCAAGCGCTTACGCACTGCTTAATACACACAAGAGAGCAATAGACAAATATCTTTACATATGAAAAAATTGATAAAATGGATATATATAGGATATAATAATAATAGATATAGAATATAAATATAAAGGATTAAAATATTACAAAACATATTATTTTCTAGCCTACATAAATATGAAAAATCACTGCTTTTATGTCTTCTTCATCTCGGGAGGCTTTTTCAGTTCATTCATAACAATTTGCTTTTGTATAATATTATTTTTAGCAGTATTATTTATTATATCCATATGTATATTTGTTTTATTAAAAACAAGCTTAGATTTGCCCACCTGTCAGGTTTTAGACCATATGGGGCAAAGCATGTGTTTTAGGATATAACTCAGGTTTTTAAACACATTTTGCTATTATTATTCATTTATTTGTTTGCTGGAAATTAGAACTGAATTTAGAAATAGTTTTAAAACAAATATTTGCGCTTAACAAACAAAATTATGTATTTATAGACTAACTGATGTCTGTGCGTAAAGGTTTCCCTATCCAAGAGCGAAAGTAAAAGTAGTTCCATTATCTCTCATTCTCGCGCAGTAGATGCTCTGTTTAACAGTTTTCTATTAAAAAACTGTTAACTGTTTGCGTGTGAAATGCTCATTTTTTCCACTTAGACTTACTTTGCGTCCTGTAAATAGCGAATGCGCTCTTGGCACGACGCAGCTGACTCTTAAAGGGAATGGGAGATGAGACTCTTAATTGGTTTATTCTCAAAACACACCTATAACTCATTAAGAAAATAAACTCAACCCTAGATTTCCCGTCCTTAAATTAGCAAAAACGCATCCTGACACGCCCTGAAAGCATTTGCGCCCTGCATTTTGCGCTTTGCGCATGGACCGTCAAAATAGAGCCCCTTGTGTTTGATTGTGCCTTGTGGATTTATTTCTGAGTTTGTCCCCTCTGTTTTACCTTTTTAGAATTACATGATCCCCTTGAAGCAAGTGTTAACACCACAGGAGATGGAGGCTATATTTGTAAATTTAGAGGTGAGTTGTCATCTACTGTGCTCCACTTTTACATCCATTATTCCCAACATTTTACAGGTAGCTTAACTTTTTCAGTTTCAAACCAAATGAAGGCAAAACAGTGTGGTACAGATAACAGATAAATAACATCAACTGGCAAACCTTTATTTTCACAGGACATTATCAGAGTCCATTTTGCTCTGCTGAGGGCTATTGACCTGACCATGGTGAGTGGGGGCAATGGCCTGGGGAAGATCTTTCTGGATTTCAAGGAGAGGTCAGTGTCTTCTCGCAGTGTGTGGGTTTATTACTATCAGTTATGTTATAGCATCTCACCCTTTTGTCAACACCTTAAGCCTCAGTTGAGCTGAAATGACCTCAAGTGAAGGAGGCAAAGTCTTGCTGCTGTCACCCTCCCCAAAAAAATCCATCACACCAGCATGGCCTGACCGCAGCAGCCCAACTATTTTAAAATAAATCCTCGTCAGAGCCCACAACCCACAGGGCTTAAAAAGAAAATAGACCTGTCTGCAAGAGGCTGCTACATTAGAAGCAAACGCTTCCTGTTTGAGTGGTCTTTTTGTCTCCTGTTGCTGCTGTATCAAAAATCAATAACCAGATAATAGAGAATGTTTTAGCTACTTCATCCACAGTAGTTGACAGATTCCCCAGGGGTTCAAGTAAAACCAAAACACTGTTATACAGTCTTTATTCTATGTCGAACCCATAAAAGTGTATCTTAATCTGTTTTTAATGTACCACACATATATGTTTTGAAAGATGTTTCAGCTGATTTAGTCCAGCAATGAAAGTTAGACATTTCTGAGAACAGAAGGGTAGTAAGTCACACAGGGTTGGTGAAAATTAATGATGAAATATGTTTGGATGAGTTACCTTTTTAATTCTGTAGTCTCACATACACAGTGGGCAATATTAGGATGCAGACGAGCCACTCATATTCTCTCAAAAGTCTGAATGTGACCGGCAGTACGTGGTGTACCACAGGTCACTGGTCTGGGACCACTGCTGATTCAGCTCAGTAATGTGCAATTTTCCTGCAGGTCCCTTAGGTTTGAGAAACATTGAAGCTTGACTAAATGACAGGCCATGTAACAGTCAGCTTATTCTAGTAATGCTACACAACATTAAACTCTGAGTTATCAGGCATTACCAAGATCTGTTGAATCTGTATTTCTATAAAAGAGTTTTGCTCTTGCTGCACTCAGCACAAATGCTGTTTTTTTTTATCCCAACGGGGACCCACTTAATAAAACCAAGTAGGTGTAACACAAAATTATGACCTCACTGCAATTAGAGTGCATGTGTCCTCAGAGAGAAGAACTTTGGTCCAGTGTTCTGGTTTATTAAGCAGTCAGATGACCTTGCAGTAAGATCATAGGAATTAATGTTGCCGCAGTTCTCGGATTGCGAGCTGCGAAGGCACAGCCTTATCAGACACCAGCATTATAAAAAAAAAAAACTTCTGTTTTATACATGCATATCAGAAGGAAAAAGTGAATGGTGTAGATTTATTACAGTAGCTTTACAGAACATATGACCCTAGTCAATGTTTCAATGCATGACCCTAGTCTACACTACCTGACTGAAGTCTTATCGCCTATCCAAGTTTTAGACTTTTAGATTACGCTTATTTTACCAAAATAAAACATGGTCATGCCTTGATTTTGAATTATTTAATTAGGACAGTAAGCTCTGACTTCGCTTAGACAAAAGTCTGTCATTATACAGAAATAATGTACAGTATAGAATATAAAGTCATGGTGTAGTGGAAAAAGAATTAATATTGTTTATGGCTCTTATGAGCTTGGAGGCATCCCTACATCTCTGCAATGACTCAAATAACTTATTAATAAAGTCATCTGGAATGGCAGAGAAAGCGATCTTGCAAGACTCCCAGAGATTATCAGTATTCTTTGGATTTATCTTCAATGCCTCCTTCATCTCACCCCAGACATCCTCAATAACTTTCATGTCTGGTGACTTGGCTGGCCAATCCTGGAGCACCTTGACCTTTTTTGCTTTCAGGAACTTTGATGTAGAGGTAGAAGTATGAGTAGGAGCGCTATCCTGCTGAAGAATTTGCCCTCTTCTGTGGTTTGTAATGTAATTGGCAGCACAAATGTCTTGATACCTCAGGCTGTTGATGTTGCCATCCTCTCTGCAGATCTCTCGGACGCCCACATACTGAATGTAACCCCAAACCATGATTTTTCCTTCACCAAACTTGACTGATTTCTGTGACAATCTTGGGTCCATGTGGGTTTCAACAGCTCTTCTGCAGTATTTGTGATTATTGAGAGATGCAATTCAATAAATCTAACCACTATAAATCTAATTCAATAATCTGCCACTTATCCCAATGATCAACTAGAAATTAAGTTAATATTTGTTGCTTATACAACTGGTATGGATGACAAGACTTTTGTCAGGTAGCGTATGGACATGTATAAGCATTTTAGAATCATAAAGAACACTTGATAGTGTCTAAGGTTAACATTTCTTAACATCTTCAATCAAGTGAATGTAGAAAGCAAAAAACGGGTTTAGTTTAAAAAGAGGGAATACACTGAAATAACCATTACTGGCAGCTGCCTGATTAGTTTAACATCATGTGGCAGACAAGCAAGCTTCAGAAATGTCCTTTTATTTAAGTGATGGTTCATCTAAAAATGAAAAGTGCAATCTTACATTGCCTATGGTATCCTAAACCTGCATGCCACAAAAAAACTAAATGATCTGAAATAACTTTAGACCCCTTTTACTTTAATTGCATGAGGTATACAGTAATTCAAAACAATTCTGTGGCTCATAGAAAAACAGTTCTAAAGGTTTTAAAGACATAAGGGTGAGTAAATGGTAGCTTGTATTGCAGTAATGTGTCTGTTTTGATTTCATGTTAGCTCTAAAGTCTTTAGTATGCTCTTTCAAGCAGCCACTTGTTCTAATGCACATTAAAGACTTTGTTCCTCTTTTATCTTCTTCCCTGCTGTAGACATCTAATTTAACCTCCGCTTGAGTGCATCCATAGATATCTTATCTCTCGGGTGGGTAAATGACGTCTCCCAATGAGAATTACCATATAGGCTCTTACGAACATAACTGAGACTTTATTCTGCACCAGATTTGTTGAATTCAGCAGCTGCACGGGGCATTTGCTTTCTCCCCATGAGAGCTTGATCTGTACATTACTGTGGTGTGGGTAATGATAATTACAGGTTCGTTTTCAGTAATGATAACACACTCTGACAGAAACCTTTCTCAGTAATATTCAAACCTTTTTTCTTATTCTTTTTAACTTCCATTAGCTGAAGCAAACCCAATAATGTGCTTATTTGCTATTTACAGTTGTTTAAGTTGACAGGGATCGATCACCCCCCCCCCCCCCCCAAAAGCATGGAAAAGAATAGGGATGAGGAGACAACCCTATTGTTTCCATTTGTCAGTTTGTATAGGTAATTGGCCCATTACAAGGCTCTTCCCAGTACCCAGCGGGCAGCATCACACAGAGTCAGCGTGACAGCACCGCCTCTCTCGCCCGCACTCTTTTGTTTATGTAATTCTGAGCCTGTCATCTCATTGAGCCAGTCTTCCGTGGGTGCTTCCACTAACATGCACTTTGGCACAACATTAGCGGGAGTGCGACCTCGTTCTGACACGCAAAATCATTTCTCTATACCTTGCTGCAGCACTTTTCCTTTTTGCTTGATTTCCTTATCCACCTGTTTGCTTGTCTATATTGTCCATGACCATCATTCTCTTTAGATAATTTAATTAGCTGATTCTCAGACATTTTCAAAATACTTTACTTATCCAACTTATCCTACATGTTTTTCACAGCAGATGCCCTTCCAGCTGCAACCCAACACTGGGAAACACCCATACAGTACACTCATATACACACACATACACTAAGGACAATTTTTGTTTTAATTCACTGATTCAGAGGTTGCATAAGAAGATGTAATGAATTTCTGTTTAAACACATCAGCGTATAGTTATAACTATGCATTCGAAATACCAATTATAAATATGTATTTAACAAATAAATAAGTAAGGGACAGCTCAGATAATCACAGAATAAAGGTTAGAAATAATCTACTCACCTATTTGAACAACAAAAAAAACAATAAAATATATCTTCCAGACAAAGTTAACCCCATCGTACGTCCAGTAAAACCATTGGAGTATATGCCAATTTTAGATAGTTGTGAGGGGAAAAGATTGACAAATATTAGGGCGATGATCAACAAAGCTAAGACATTTTTTATTAATTTCAACGTTCTTTCAAGATTAAAAATATGGGAGAAATATCGGAAAATACTTAATGATAGGATGATAGTGGGATAGAATGGTAAAATATGGGACAATCCCTGCAGAATCGGGAGGGGTGAACAGGAAGTGTTTATCGAGCAACAGTTTTGCGGGGAATGCAAAAACTTAAAAAAATAATAATTTCCGATCACTATTGTTTTTCTTTCATCCATTTTTCTTTTCTGCCACCCATTTTTTCCCCCACCATCACATCCCTTTTAGTTCTCCGTAGACATTTGGTGACATTAAGCAGTAAACAAAGCTCAGTGTTTTTTGCAAGTTATTCATTTCATTAAAGTAAATGTCTGCTTTCTTACTATTAAAGCCATATGTTGATCATCACCCTTCATATGGAACCTCTGCACTGACTGATGGACGCACTCCATATGAGAAACTGATCCCAGATCAGCTTCTGTACAATTTAAATATATATGGGATATGAGTGTTTAAACACAAATTCACTAAATAATACAGTATGTAAATGTGTCCACATCCTGAGTGTTACTAAAATAATCAAATGCTTTCGTTATAGATCATAGTTGCATATCATCATCATTATAGTGCATTCCTAAAGTGACACCTCTGTTATCAAACAAAACAAAACGTGAGATTCATTTGCTGCTCTTCGCTTGTTTGATAACAGAGGTGTCAAAAACGTTGTGTATAAAAGCTGATCTGTATGGAATCACTTTATCATATAGAGCACATCCGTCAGTCTGTGCTTATACATGTATTAGCTGATTCAGAGGTTGCATATGAAGGGTGATGATGAACGCACAGACCTCCTAAGCTCTGCGTAACGGGTCTGTGATGAATTCTTTAAATTTTAAAGTTCGTTCTGGCCCAATACCTCCATTAGTGGTTCTGTTCTCCCATCAGTTGGAATAGAATAACTTTTGCATAGATTACAATAGAGACATTTTTCACCAACCTACTGTAGACCAC